CCGAAACAACCAAAACAAAACGACAGTAACGACCAAAACGAACGAGAAGAAAAGAGTAGAGGATTAAATGAAATGTCGCGGAAAATTTAGATTTTACTTCAGATCTTCTGTCGCATTTAAGGCTTTTAAATATTAAGGCCGTCTCACGATACTTTATTTTTTCCCACTACGAGAGCAGTTGAAACTATATATAAGTTAACATTTATTTGTAATTTCGAGGATGAAACGCCAGCCCATTGAAACTATAATTACATTTATCGGTAGTTTCCAGGACAGAACGCCAGCCATATCAAATACCAAGCACGTGCGGAAAGGAGAGGAAATAGATAAAGGTCTATGTCCTTGTTTTCTTTATGGATTTTTTTTAAAATAAAGGTTTCCACGACGCCTTACGCCAAGCCGATGGCAATCGAGAGATAACTGAATTTCCCCGTGAGGTAAATCAAGGGTAGACCACAATCGAAACGAGACAAATATACATCTCAGGGCATTTATATATTTTGTATTATTATCACTCTACAGTCAACTCACTATCTCTTTTCTAATTGGCTGATAGCGTACAGTGAATTTTCGAAATCAGCGCCTGGGACGTCACGGAGCTGCAGATTATGCGATTATCATGTCATGGGCACTCAAGGCCACGGGTCAGGTCATGTCATGTATGACCGCGGTGTATGATTCCTAATGGAAATCATGTCAAGTTCGCGCGCTTTGCGTTGCTTGCAGATCATGATTTGTAAAAATGTTTACATGTTTAGATATAAATTATCAGTTCCACTTACTGTCGTGACCATTTTTTTTTCGTGCGATGTATAATAAGACAGCTATTGGAAAAGGTTTTTGTGATATCCAGAATAATCAAGGTCTTGGTAAGGGTTATCAGTCGAAGCCGAGGATAATCCCTACCTATAATTCCCATCTGCTTCACCAAACTCTTTTCCAAAAGCTGTAATCACGCAGGATGGAATCGAACCCACTTTTCTCTCCCAAACTTTCCATCAATAAACCAGATCTGCTGTTGATAAGGTGCATGGGGACTAAAAGTAAAATTTGTAAACGTTCGATTTAAGCACACGGCTGGGAACTCCTCCTCCTCTAGAATACACGAAACCCTTGCATTTTGCCAGCAGCAAAATAACCATAGAGACAAAGTACACTGAGATAAATAAAAATCTAGTTCGTTTGATTCAACCAATCTATTATATGTATAATTTCCAACATTTAATTTTAGCGGAAAGACACCACTTTCTCGTTATCGCCGACGATCATTCTTCTATTTATTTACATCCTCCGTCTTGTTTTCCAAATCTGCTCGTTTTTGAAAGCTAATACACTCTCTCGACGTTGGTAACACTTGACATGAGCCACAAGACCACATATCCGTAGTTTCAAGTAGATTACAGGTAAACATTCGAAACACGCGGGTAATGAAAAGTTGGACGGTTTGACGTCACAATCAAGCTAATCAACTCTTCAAAAAGCAGCGCGCTTTGGCCACTTTGAAGTGGACTTTAACCTCTGTGTGTGGAATAAGCGATAAAATGCAGGTTGTTTGCAAGGAATTAACACGCGCTTGGGTTAAGTCCAAGCTAGCTAAAATCAAATATTACTCGTAGAAAAAGTCAAAACGCGGAAGAATTGAGTGGAAAATTCATATCACTCGCATTTAGCTCCGTTTGAATTTTTTTCAATGGGGTTGGACAATGCTAGAATTAGGATACCTTGTTTACAAGGAAATGACACGTGATGGAGGAAAGTCTAATGTGGCAAAAAGGAATTTGATTGGTGGAATATGATTCTAGCATATGAAAAATTGCCTAGTGTTTTATGTGACGCAGTGATTGGGTATGCTCAGATTGGGCTTGGACGTTATTTTCATGGTAGGTGATAGAATGTAAGATGTTTTTAGTGTGCTTTGTGAGTGAAGGAGCGCAAAAAACATGTTTTTCCTTAAAAGTGATACAAAAAGTTAAACGCGAACCTTTCATGTCCAAATAAATCTC